GTTAACAGATGAATTTGGTTGAAGGGTCACTATATATTTTTTGTACCCTTCCTATTCTTGAACACTTCTACCTGTTCTATATGTTTGAAACCATTCCTAAATAAAAAGTTTAAGAAGAAAAAAAAGTCACTTATTGGGCTGGCCTATTTGTCCACACTGGTTTGAGACATGTACATGAAACTGAACCAATAAACAAAATGAAATCTCTTTCTTGTAAAATCTGATTCTATGGGGAGCACTTCTAGTTTCCTTCCAGTATGAATTTAATGGCGTTTTAAGAAAATGATGTATTCTCATAACACTTATTCTCCTCCATTGTTTATGATGTCTGGTAAGATGTAACTTGTGGACAAAGACTTTTTGACATAAAACAACTCTGGAGTATGAGTAATTTATAATTGGTTCAAACTAAGAGAAGTCTTTCTCATTTTCAGGAAATACCTCACTCATGCACAAATACTGAAAACTGATTTCTGAATGAAGCTTTCCACACAAAGTGCATTTATTTTGTCTACTGGCAGCAGAAATTTTATAACTTCCATGTGGGTTCTCCAGTCATTGCTTTTATAGGGTTCTCTCTCCAAAATGAGCTTCTAACCTGTTCTCTCATATGTGAATTTGCTGATGTTCAGAAAGTTATCTTTTCATGGGGCGCCTGGGTGGCTCAGTCATTAAGCATCTGCCTTCAGCTCAGGTCATGATCCCAGGGTCCTGGGATGGCACCCCGCATCAGGCTCCCTGCCCTGCAGGAAGCCTGCTTCTCTCTCTCCCACTCCCCCTGCTTGTGTTCCCTCTCTTGCTGTCTGTCAGATGAATAAATAAAATCTTAAAAAAAAAAAAAGTTAACTTTTCAGTTTCAGGATGATTTTCTAGTTATTGTATTCATAAAGTTTCTCTCCAGCACGAATTCTCTGCTATGTGATGATATAATGATTTGTAAATGAAGCCCTACTCACATTTAATAAGACAGAAAACTACTCTCTCCTATGAATTATCTGATGTATGATTAAATGTTGGTTTGAGTTTTCTTACATTTTCTGAATTCATTGAATGAGAATAAAATTTTTTCTAAATTAATTTAAAGTACATTTTTAATTTAAAAATTTAGATTGTAAAATTGCTTTTAGAAAGTTTTGCGGTGGGGTGCCTAGGTGGCTCAGTTGTTAAGCATCTGCCTTTGGCTCAGGTCAGGATCCCAGGGGTCCTGGGATGGAGCCCTGCATTGGGCTCCCTGCTCGGCGGGAAGCCTGCTTCTCCCTCTCCCACTCCCCCTGCTTGTGTTCCTGCTTTCGCTATCTCTCTCTCTGTCAAACAAAGAAATTAAAAAATCTTAAAAAAAAAAAAAAGGAAAGTTTTGCCGTAAATACAAAAAAACCTGTATTATAGTAGTGGCATAAAAAGATACGTCTAATTCACACTATTCCCCCTGGTAAGGTCCTTACTGCACATGCCTTCAATCAATACTGACCTTAAGAGTTCCATCTAAGTAAGATTCAACTCTCCCATTTCACTCATAACTGTCCATCATCCATTCCCCAGTCAATTCCCAGTGCCCCTTCAAATATGTGGAGGCCCACAAAATGAAGTCTTCCTTCGTCCTAGATGTTACTACCCTGTTGATAAAAGGTAATGCATCTTATTTTTTTTAGCTTAGTAATACAGAATTGTACTTTTTAAAATGTGCCTGGGGAGGTGCCTAGGTGGCTCAGTTAGTTAAGCATCTGCCTTCAGCTCAGGTCATGATCCCAGGGACCTGGGATGGAGCTGCTCAGTGGGGAGTCTGCTTCTCCCTCTACCTCCGCCCCTCCCCCTGCTTGTGCACTCTCTGTCTCTCTCTCTCTCTCAAAATAAGTAAATATTTAAAAAAATAAAAAGTAAATAAAACGTGCCTGGGAATAAAAAGGTTGAGAATCACTATCTCAGTAATCCTTCTAAATTAATCTTTGAAATTCTTATTTTCAAACCCCTGGGCTCTTAGACCAGCCTTCATTAACTTCACTTCCTATTTATTATCCAAAGGACAAAAAACATACTCAAAAAAAGAAACATGAGAGTCTCTTTGTCAGTCTTCTTTTGCTAAAGTTTGGCAGCTACCATAATGAAATTTGACACCACCAAAGGTAATTTTCTCTTATGTATCAAAGTTTACAAAATCTTTAACAAAACAGTAAATGCCTTAACTTTTAGCAACAAAAAAATGGGAATAGTGTCACAAATCAGAGCATTTTCATTTTTTAGTTTGAAAAGTTTTGGTAATTAAAAAAATATGTATTTCTGAACTCCACAGTCCTTAGAAAGAAACAGCTCTCAGTGCATTGAATCTGCTAATGACAGAGTAGGTTGTACAGACCAGTACTTTCTTTGAGAACTAAAAAGTCGAAGAAAATATTAAATATATTTAATTCTGTGATGGCACTGGAGAGCTACCAAGAAGTGAGAAACTACATGAATAAGATTAGAGATAAGACATACATAACCTCTGGAATTTGGGGCTATTTAGTAAAAAGAGGTGTTTGCTAATTTTTAAAGCAAATGCTGGCCAAGAAAGGTTAAGACAGTTTTTGACAAATTTATGGGACCTATTGGTACAAATACTAGAATTAAATTCCTTCCCAGGATGAGGCACCTGGCAATCTCCCCAAGTCTACGTCTCTAGGGTAGCCCCTAGAAATAGGAGTGAAAATGCCAGACAAGCCTTTACGGGGACTGGAGCCCAGTTTTACATACTCTCATTACATGACTGGATGAAGACAAACAAGGGTGTTCATGCTCTCGCCTGTCACCTGTTAGAGTCAAAGGCAAATCTCCTCTGGAAGAAAGTATCATCCAAACCATCTCAGCTTCTCTACAATTTTTAATATATAGTGTCTGGTAGTTGATTTAAAATCATCAGGTATAGGAGAAGACAAGCATCACTAAAATCTGAAAGAACCAATGGAAAAACGTTAATGGGGTTATTTCTAGACAAAGCAAAGGAAGATTATGAAGCAGAAGCATACTTTGCATAGATAGTAGCAAGAAATTTCACAAAATGTGAAGAAAAGAAAAACCCCACTAAGTTACAGATTTAAAAAACACTACAAACTACAAATACATAGAAAATCACACCTAGCCATGTCACTGTGCAATTGTTGGCAGCCTAAGACATGAATTTTGAAGGAACTAGAGAAAAGGGAAAAAAGCACATTACCTTCAAAGGTAATTACATTGAAAGCTTATTTTCCAACAAAACAGTGAAACACAAACCTTAACAAAATATATTCAAAATACTAATAGAAAATAACCGTCAACTTAGAATCTTATATTCAGTAAAAATATCTTTCAAAAATGAAGGTAAAATAAAGAAATTTTCCAAGAAACAAAAACAAAATTTGTCACTAGCAAGCACATACTAAAAGAAATGCTAAAGGGTCTTCTTCAGTCAGGATAAAAATGATTCTAGAGTGAAACTTAAAAGAAAAGAAGGAAGAAAAAATGGTAAGTATGAGGATTAATCTAGATGAATACTGACTCTGAGACAATAAAGACTGACCACATCAACTACTTACAAAATCCAAATGCATAACATTAATAACACGTAAGTCAACAGGGAAATAAAGGAGCTACTTTTGTAGCTTCTCACCTTGTCCAGAGTGGTGTGGATACTAATTTAAATCAGCCTTCAATAAGTGAAGTGTACATACAGTATTAACATCTGATGTAGTAAATTTTAAGGCAAAAAAAGCATCAGTAGCAATAAAAATGGACATTTCATAATGATTAAATTTCAATTAACCAGGAAGAGTGTAATGATTCTAAATGTGAATGTATGTAAAAACAAAGACTCAAAATATATAAAACAAAAGGGTTGATCTAAAGGAGAGACAAATTCACAAATATTCCAGACGATAAAACACTTCTTTTAGAATTTGATGGAATAAGTCTGGGAGAATAGAAAGGGTTTGAAAACACAGTAAGATTAATTTGTAGAGATTGGGAGGAGAAAGGAAGAGTACTCTTCCAATGTGCAACTCTGTTTTTTAAGACAAACTCAAATGCAAACAGTAGTGTCCAGTGGTAACCTAGCATGTGATGACTATGCAGAGAATGTATTAACAAAATTGGAAGAAAAGAATTCTAGGTTTTGAAATCCATTTTAATTGTTCCCCTTTCCCAAACAGAAATCAGTAAAAAATACAGATTTCTGTGGATGAGGCTAAGAGTTCAAAGTGCTCACCTCTATATCTGACCTGAGACTAAGTCCTGTGGTTTCAGGGCCAGTTCTAAGGTGATAGTAAGTAGTCTGTAGGGCTGCTGCTTACCTCACTGGTCACTTTGGGTATGGATATAAGCTGGGAAAACTTTATGCATTCTAGGTGTGAGTTATCTGGGCCATGGCAGGGAATTAATAAAAAAGGGAACATACTGGTTAACTAAAGAGGCCTGTGAATATTCAAGTAAGCTTGTGGTTCTGATTTGCCATTCTCAAAATCAAATAAAAAAACGTTTATCCAAATTTCCACATACTGATACTGTAAACAATAAATAATTGACTTCCTGAATGGGGGGAAAAAAAGAATCCTTTTTTTGTGTCTTTAATAATGTCAATTTTCACAAAAACTTTTGGCTTCTCTTCATTATAGACCTGAATTGTCCATACTTTTGCTTTCATTTCAGCATCCTTAAACAATTAAAAATTCTCTTAGCACTCTACTCATTAAGAAATTCCTTTGGTCAATATCGAATACAGCCCTGAATTTATATAGCTGCTTATCCATAACATGAAACAAGATTGCCAACTTCTCTCCTTGCATATTTACTATTATTTGCAGGGGCTTAACAATCCCAGTATTTGTCCAGTAATTAAGCATGGCCATCACACATTACTTAAACACTTTCTTCAAAGTGTCTCCCCCACACATGAAACGACATCAGCTCTGTGATCCAGACATTCATACTTCTGACCAGAGGTAAGGTTGCTTTGATTACCTCCTGCTTCTTAGTCAAGCTGTAGCCTCTCACTACTTTGTATCTCCACACCATGATTGTGGCACTGGGCACTCTACTTCCTCAGAATCTGATTTCTGATGTATACTGAGCTGTGGTCTCCAGTTTAAGGCTTTCCTAAAGTCACTGCCTTTATAGGGTTTCTGTTTAGCATGAATTTTCTGGTGTTTAATAAGATTTGATCTGATGGTGAAGGCTTTTCCACACTCAGCACATATAAATGGTTTCTCCCCTGTGTGAATTCGATGATGTTCATGGAGTTGTGACTTCTTAATGAAGGCCTTCCCACAGTCACTGCATTCATAGGGTTTCTCTCCAGTATGAATTCTCCGATGCCGATTTAAATGTGATTTCTGGATGAAGGACTTCCCACATTCGGTACAAATATAGGGTTTCTCTCCTGTATGAATTCTCTGATGCATAATTAGTGTTGATTTTCTTGCAAAGGCTTTCCCACATTCACTGCACTCATAGTGTCTCTCTCCAGTATGAGATTGCTGATGTATATGGAGGCCTGACTTCCGAGTGAAGGCTTTTCCACAGTCACTACATTTATACGGTTTCTCCCCAGTATGAATTTTCTGGTGTGTAAAGAGATTCGATCTGTCAGTGAAGGCCTTTCCACACTCAGCACATCTATAGGGTTTCTCTCCTGTGTGAATTTGCTGATGTACATGGAGTTGTGACTTCTTTGTGAAGGATTTCCCACAATCACTGCATTCATAAGGTTTCTCTCCAGTATGAATTCTCTCATGGGAAATAAAATGTGATTTGTGGAAGAAGGCCTTCCCACATTCAGTACAAACATAGGGTTTTTCTCCTCTATGAATTCTCTGATGCATACTTAGTGTTGACTTTTGGATGAAGGCTTTCCCACACTCACTGCATTCATAATGTCTCTCTCCAGTATGGCATTTCTGATGTATCCTGAGCCGTGACTTCCAGGTGAATGATTTTCCACAATCACTGCATTTATAGGGTTTCTCTCCAGTATGAATTTTTTGGTGTTTAATGAGATTTGACCTGTCAGTAAAGGCCTTTGCACATTCGGCACATATATAAGGTCTCTCTCCAGTATGAATTTTCTGGTGTATAATGAGATTTGTCTTGTGAGTGAAGACCTTCCCACATTCTGTACATATAAAGGGATTCTCTCCTGTGTGAATTCGCTGATGCACATGGAGTTGTGACTTCTTTATAAAGGACTTTCCACAGTCACTGCATTTGTAAGGTTTCTCTCCAGTATGAATTCTCTCATGTGTAATAAAATGTGACTTCCGGATAAAGGCTTTCCCACATTCAGTACATACATAGGGTTTTTCTCCTGTATGAATTTTCTGATGCATACTTAGAGTTGATTTCCTTGTGAAGGCTTTTCCACATTCAGTACATTCAAAGTGTTTCTCTCCAGTATGGATTTTTTTATGTACACTGAGGTTTGAATTCTGAGAGACATTTTTCCCACACTCACTATATTCATAGGGTTTTTCTCCAATATGAATTCCTTGGCATCTGAACAGATCTGACTTCTGGATAAAGGCTTTTCCATATTCATTGCATTTACAGTGATTCTCCTCAGTGTGAGTTTTCTCATGATTTGACTTGAGGGACAAGTCCTTCTCATATTCAGTGCGTGTACAGGGTTTCCCTCCTATAGAAGCCTTCTGAGGTACAGCAAGTTGGGGCTTCTGAGTGAAGACTATCTCACATTTGCTGCATTCATGCTGTTTCTCTTCAGCACAAATACTTTGATGTGCAAAGAGGTGTGGCTTCTGGGTGAAAATTTTTACATAATCAGAAAATAAATTGAGATTCTCCTCAGTATGAATTTTTTGATGTTGAATGAGAGCTTGCTTATGACTCAGAAGTTTCTTACACTGGTTATATTCACAAGCATTCGTTTCGGTATGAGGATTCATATGAGTGAAAATATTACCATATCCAATAATCTTATCAGGATTTCCTCTTGCATTGTTTCTATACTCACATAAGCTTACAACAGGCTTCAAACTCCTTCCAAATGATTCATAGTTCTGGAGTCTTTTTCTTGCAGGAACAAGGTATGTGTTTACATGATCAATTTTCCCATTGTCCTTATATTCACAGTCTCTCTCATTAAATAGTGCTCCCTTGTTGATAAAGTGAACTTGTGTTACACCTGTGTTCTGGTTTTCCTCACATCTCCCTGTCTGTTTATCATCTTGCCACAAATCTTCTAAAATGGAATACGGGTCATCTCCTGTAAAGAGATTAATTCTCTCAAACTGGATTAAAACTTCTTCAGACATTCCCTGCTGTGAAGTTTCAAAACCAATATCCCCATCTAAAAAAGAAGGAAAAAATGAAACACACAAAGAACAGTTAAGAGAACATAGAAGGGATAATACATACAGTTGATTTAGGGTGAATAAAGAGAACTGAGAGGCTTTATATAAATATAACAAATATGTATAAAAATATATATGAGTAGTAATAGATGTATATATAATGTATAGCAATAAAACAAATATTTGTCTTCCATTTACTAAATAATAAGCAGTAGCATTTAGATGTGCCAGGCATTGTTCTAAGTTCTATAACTAACTCATTTAATCATCACAACCCACTGCTCTTGGTATCAGTATTGTCTCTATTTTACAGATGAGGAAACTCAGCCATGGAAGAGTCAGGTATTTGGGGCGCCTGGGTGGCTCAGTCGTTAAGCGTCTGCCTTCAGCTCAGGTCATGATCCCAGAATCCTGGGATCGAGCCCCGCATCGGGCTCCCTGCTCCGCGGGAAGCCTGCTTCTCCCTCTCCCACTCCCGCTGCTTGTGTTCCCTCTCTCGCTGTCTCTCTCTCTCCGTCAAATAAATAAATAAAATCTTAAAAAAAAAAAAAAGAAGAAGAGTCAGTCAAATGTTTGGTAATTGGAGAAGAGGAGATTCAAAGTGAAGCCACATCAGCTCCATGCGTGTAGCAGAACTACCTAGTAAGCTGTCAGAGGAACAAAGTGACAAACTGTGTGGCTTAAAAGAAGTATTTGAGTCTATATCCTTGTTACCCTTATTATTCTTGTTAATCCTTCATCCACTAATCTACTTCCTCTTTCCCTATTAATCACTCTGCCCAAAATACCAATGTATTTATGTAGAGTAAAACTATTTTTTTTAAAGATTTATTTATTTGAGAGAGAGAGAAAGAGAGAGCACACACGTGAGCAGGGGTGGAGGGAGGAACAGAAGGGGAGGGAGAGGGACAAGTAGACTCCATGCTGAGCACAGAGCGTGAAGCGGGACTCGATTTCATGATGCCAGATCATGACCTGAGCTGAAATCAAGAGTCAGACGCTTAACCAACTGAACCACCCAGGTGCCCCTAGAGTAAAACTACTGTAGCTTCATTCATTCTGACTTAGCCAAGTGGCAAAAAATGTCTGTGATTCAATTCTTTATTCTGGTTTGGGGTGCAGAGATATATTATATGCACTCAAAGGAGGCATATAACAGGAGAAAGGAGCAGCTGTCTGAAGAAGGGCCTGAGAGCCTTCCATCAGAACCTCTCCTCTCCCTTCAGCAGTATGAAGCTTGTAGCCAAGTTCATGGCTGCCCCCAAACAACAGCCTCGTTTATGGTGAGATGAAGCCAAGTAATTCATTTCTTACCAAATGGGAGTAAAAATTATGTTGTGTGACAAAGCCCATGTCTTAAGGATGTAGGCATGTCTCCACAACCCTCTTCTCTTTCCATTGACTGTATTCCAGACTAGTGGCATCCAGCTCTGTGGCTGGTAATGCCCTAGGCACAGGTTGGAAAACTATGGCCCTCAGACTAAATCCAGGCCTCCACCCAAAAGCTAGAAATGGATTTTACATTTTTGAATGGTCAAAAAAAAAAAAAAATCAGAAGAATAATTATATGACATGCGAAAAACATATGAAATTCAAATTTCTGTGTGCATAAAGTTTTTATTGGAACAGAGATACACTCATTCATTGATGTAGTACCTCTAGCTCCTTGGGGCTAAAACAGCAAAATTGAGTAGTAATGACAGCAATCATATGGCTCACAAAGCCTAAAATAATGACTTCTGGGCCTTTACAGAAAATGTTTGCCAACCTCTGCTCTCGGGGATGGCCGTGCCAATGACTTGGGAACTGTCATGTGATGCAGGGTCAATGTTTATGTTCTCTGAGTCACTGTTTCTTGGGTTCTCTTAGTGACAGGAGCTTGCTTTCCCCAATACACCATTCTTGCCCAGAATAAGATCATTAATATTCCAAATTCTGGAAGAGCATATAAGACATAGTAGATTCTCAGTAAATATTTACATAAAAATAGATACCATTACCTTATTCTACTAGAGTTCTTGAATATAGACACAGTCTAACCTCATATCCATTTCATTCTGCCTCCAGGGCCTTGTCATGCTCCCAGACATATTCTGTAGGTGCTATGTTACATTTTTACTCACACACATTAACAGCTTTTATTAATCCTGAGACCATCTAATACTGGATTCCTAAACATGGATTTTGACATTTTGCAATCTTTCACTTTCTTTAGCTTACAAACCCATTGTTACATCTGACAACATTTATATTACTACCAACACTGTTCAGTGTAAAAATCTGCTCCCGTGCTAAAAAGTTTATTTATATGCAATTCCTGTCACCACTGACTCAACTGCTCATTCAGTAAAATACAGGGTCATAATTTCAGGCCAATAAAATGTCTATATGCAAGCTATCTTTCCACTAGTCACTAAAGTCTCTTTTATTACTAAATCCAAACATATACAGTTGACCCTTGAACAACACAGGTTTGCACTGCATGCGTCCACTTATATGTGGATTTTTTTCAATAAACACAGTATAGTACTGTAAATTTATTTTCCATATGATTTCCTTAATGACATTTTCTATTCTCTAGCTTAGTCATAAGAATACTGCATGTAATGTGTCTAACATACAAAATATGTGTTAAATGACTGTTTATGTTCTTGATAAGGCTTCCGGTCAACAGCAGGCTGTTAGTAGTTAGGTTTTGGGATAGTCAAAGTTATACGTGGATTCATGACTGCATGAGGGGTTGGCGCCCCAGACCCCTGCATCGTCCATGGGTCAACTATATTCTTTTCCCCATTCAGCTTTTTCTTCTGATCCTCTGTTCCTTTCAAAATTCATTGTTCTTTCACAGATCACCTAGGGGTCTCTCTTTTCTTTAACTTAAAATAATAACAAAGACCAGATATTCTGAGCCACTCATATTCAGTTGGCACAGATGTGCACCGTAAGCAATGCTTAATGCACAAAGACTGACATTTTAAACATTTCATGCAGTTCTTTTCCCTTTCCAATTACAATTATTGGCCCTCTGAGTTGCTCCTAGGAGAAAAAAATTTTTTAATCCCTCTGAAAAAGAAAAATAACCTCCTCTGCCTATCACATAAACTCAAGAATTTTAATTTTGCTAAATATTATCTACAGAAACATTAATTAAAAAAACAGGGGCAGAAGACTCAGTTATCACATAATTTAATGTAGTTCTGTCTGAGTTTCTGTGGACTGTTGAATTAGAAAAGGAAAAAGCCATGTGTGCTTATGCATATAATGGTCAGGTCCACTCAAGAGGTAAGTGAAGCCTAAGCACAAAGAGTAAGTATATGAATAAGCAGACAGATCCCAAAATAATTAAACGGTCAGATGTAGGGGAATCATTAAAAAACATTAAAACAAAGTAAACATAATTATGGACACTAAACAGAGACAATGTGAACTGCAAATATGAGGCATATTCTTTCTTTGGTCTACAAACCCACTGAGAAGAACAATTTTTCATGTGTTAGATAATAGGCAGTACCTTCTCCATATAGCTATAAACATGGTGTTTTAAGCAATGTAATCTATTAGTAGCACCTAAGATATGTTAGTTAAAAAAAAAAAAAAGCGGGGGGAGGGATTAGCACATCCAAATAGGGTTAGAATAACCTAAAGGCATGAGAAAATATAGACAGTTATTGAATAAAAACACTGGAAAGTAAGAAGAGGAGGGCATCTAAATGGTATTTTCTAGAAGACAAAAGTTATTAGAAAGGACAGAGAGAATTATTTGAAAAGATGAGTCACAGGGAAAGTCAAAAACCACAATAGAACATGACAAAATTTTGAAAGGGGAGCCATCTGCTCTTACATGCTGCACTGTCCCAGCTCTTCGTTCACACAACTGGCCACCTGATGGGCCCTTATATGCAAAAGGTATCAGTCACTACCCTGAGTAGTCTATACAACAGCCAAAGCCTGCTTGAGACACACAACTAACGGGGACAGCATAAAATTCGTTTCCCTGAGCCAAGCCTAATATTGCAGGAATCTGAGACACACATCCGTCCCTAAATGCCAATTTTAACTTTCAACTTGGGTTGGTTACATATATGACAGAGGCTTACAGGACTCAGCAAATGTAGCATAAAGCAGCACAGCTCAAAGTATGTAGTTGCCAGCAGGCAGGAGAGCCTGATAGCAAGAGAAGAAAAAGACCCCTGTGGTGGTAGGGATCATCTAGATATCCTGCTCACTGAACCAACCGTTAAGTCGTCTGTAGAGGAAGAACGGACCCCTACCCCAAATTTGGTTCAGACTGTCAAGAGTCACACCAATAAGGTATGAAAAAGTTCATTACTCAGCAATGAAACTTTCAACAGAGAGCTCCGAAGCAGGTTCAAAGTGGCTTGAGAGAGCAAGAAAAGGAGATGGATTGTTCTTTATGGTGGTTGGGCAGTGGGGCCAGGCTGACTGCTCCTGTGCAGCTTCCCACCAGCACCATGGGAGAGAGCACCTGGGCTTTCTTATCAGTTCGCCCAGATGTGGGACTGATAGCAAGGAGAGAGTGCTGAGGCTTAGACGGTGTCAAACATCAAAAATGAAGTCAGATGTGACACCTAAAGCACAAGCCACAAAACCAAAATCAACAAGTGAACTATATAAAACTAAAAAGCTTCTGCAAGAGTAAAAGAAACAAACAACAAAATGAAAGGAAAACATACGGAATGGAGGAAGATATTTACAGACCATGTATCTGATAAAAAGTTAGTATCTAAAATATAGATTAAAAAAACCTCATATAACTAAAGAGCAAAAAACCAAATAACCCAATTAAAAAATGGGCAAAGGACAAGAATTCTCTATCTAGCAAGGCTATCGTTCAGAATAGAAGGAGAAATAAAGAGTTTCCTAGACAAACAAAAACTGAAGGAGTTCGTGACCATTAAACCAGCCCTGCAAGAAATACTAAAGGGGACTCCGAGTAGAAAGAAGAGACCAAAAGTGACAAAGACTAGAAAGGAAC